ACCCTCAATTCTTTTGTTGTGCTTTCATGCTGCTTCCCATGCGGCCCCTGGAACAGATGGTGGGATATGGACATCTGATGAGCAATTTTCTCTTGCTGAAGTTTCTTACGCTTTTTGTATAAATAGCCTCTACAAATGCTCTTGAGAAAGCAATGCAAAAATCCTGGGTCTCTCAAGAATCTGCTCAGATCTAATCCTCCCCATAAATTGATTGCCTGGTCCTCTAGAGAAAAGAGGAGCTGGCAACACCGTACAAACTGGAAGAGTGCCCGCTTCCTTCCAAAAATCTCTGTGTAAAATACACCCATGGAGAGGGCAGCCAAGTTAGGAGACTTTGAGCTGCTTAAATCCTGCAAAGATGCTCTGAGAGCAGGTTAATGGGACCAGCTGGAGACAATTCAGGCTGTGCAAAGGTCCAGAGTCACAGATCCTGGAGAAGGACTTGGAATGCACGTGATACAATCCCACCGATTTCTAAACCCCCATAATGGATATGGAGGGCTGTGATGGTAATTTGTCCTGGCTCCTGTGCTAAGGACATATTTTATCATTACCCAAATACCACTGGAAGGGATTTCTGCCTCAAGCCCTGTCTGGGAAGGCAAGAAGCATCCATACAAGTTACTGAAATAACACACAGCTCCTTCATATTCATAAGTTTCTTAGGGTCTATAGCTGTGCCAGCAGTACTTGTAGTTTAGTTTGAAGTGTTGATGTTTATTTTAAAAGTAGTTTTATTTTTTTTTTAATTTAATTACCTTACACAAGTATCTTGCAAAGTTGGGTGTGTTAAACACTGTGAGGTGTGGTTTGAATAAATGTGGATCTTTGCAGAGAGGGAGTTATCTTTATCAAATATTAAACTGAACTAACAATAATGCTTGGAAAATATTGTTTCTCTACATTATTATTTTTTCTACTTTGGTATCTTGGCCAAACCATATGTTGTTTGTTAACCAAGTACCTTTAATCACATCAGTCCACAGCTGGCCTCAAAAATTGCCTCAAATTAGTTTAAATTTCCAACACAAATGAATGTACACACCTCCCTCCTTTTCCGTGCAGGGACTCACAGGGTTGGTGCCTCAGTAGGCTTTTCCTGTCTTTTAAAGACCGTATGAAACCTCCCTGCTCAAAGGGTTTCAGAGCTTTAAACACAGCAGATCGGCAGTAGGGCTGGAACGAAGGAGCCGGGCAGAGCCCAGCTGGGTGCGACATGCTCCACTTGCAGGTCTTGGCAGCTCTGACAGCACCGGGCTTTTCCCTTGCCTGCCTGGTCCTAGGTAGCATCCCCAAGACAATTTGGCTGGAAAACTTTAATCCAAGCCTTTTTCTGTTGTAAAAGGTCTTTTTTTTTTTTTTTTTTTTTTTAAATCTCACTGCTATGGGGGTACTTTGAAGTGTTCTGCTGCAACAACTTTTAACTGAAGCAAAGTGTTCCATGGGAAATTCTCAGGTGTTAAAAACCTCCTCATTTTTATATGACTATCCTCATTTTTCATGCCTTGTCAGAACAACAGAGAATGAATTGATTGAGAATGTGCTTTGTCTCATTGTGTAGCACTGCTAAAAAATGCCATAATATTTGTTCCATTTTGCTTCTGCTTCTACTTAGCACAGATTTATTTTGTAAAACTAAGTGTCTCCTGTCTGTGCAGCAGTGAAGCAGTTTGACACTGGTATAAGAGAAAATAAATACTCAGTGTACTAATCAGAAGAGCAGCTGTTTTCAATAACTAAGAAAAATTATTCTGAGCTGACATAAGGCCATAAAAAGCAGCTGCTTCTTTAATTAGGACGTTGGGGCTAAATCTACAGAAGGATTTGGGTGTCTTGCTAGCAAAAATGTACTGGAGGCCTGAGTTAAGCAACTACGTCCTCTGTACAAAACCAAGGAATATTTGGGGTAGGGATATCTGATGGATGGATCCTGAGAAGTCATGACTCCTTGCTCACCAGCTGGGCTGAGTTTGCCCCAGTATGAAGAACAGCTGTAAAACCTGAGGGTGCTGTGTTGGCTTCTAAAAGGAGTAATATTGCACTGTCTGCTGGGTTTCTTTGGGAGTAGAGATCATACTTTGGTGGCTTTGTTTGGGGGAAGGCAGCTATCCTTGGTGGGGTCTTTTTCTTTTCCTGCTGTATCAGTGTGCTGTGTTCCAGGAGCAGCCAGGTAGGCAAGTGCTTCTTGTTCTAGACTGATTTAGATAAAAGGGGATGTGTTTCAGTGAAAACATGTTGACTGCGAGGTAGGAATTCATAATAGGTTTGAAAATGCAATATAATAATCTGAATTCAGAGAAGCTGTGGATGTTCCCTCTCTGGAGGTGTCCAAGGCCAGGCTGGATGAGGCTTTGGGCAACCTGGGCTAGTGGGAGGTGTCCCTGCCTGTGGCAGGGGGCTGGAACTTGATGATCTTTAAGGTCCTTTCCGACCCCAACCATTCTGTGATTCTATGATTCTATTTCAGCTGAAATATGTCTTGCTTTTTTGGAGACCTTTAACTTTGCTTACAACTACTTGGCTGCAGGAAGACTTTTTCTCTTGAAAGAAAAAAAACCCAACACTTTTCAATGTGAATTAAAATGGATTATGGTGTGATCACTGCTAGTTATCTGGTATGCTTGTAAAATGCTGGAGCTTCTTAATAGGGGATATCTATCAAGCAGTGGGTAGGCTGATATTGTTTTCTAGATATAGCCACCATTTTTTATTCCCAGTAAGAGTTCTGTCATAGTTCTATATGCCCTGTCTGCAAAGCTGTACCTCTGAGGCTGGAGGTTCAGAAATATTGTTTGAAATTGTTTTAGAGTACTGCACCATGCAATAATTTAATTTCCAAATGAGAAGGGTTTACTCTTGCATGGTGTTACAAGGTCTGATTTAATGACAGCTATGGTCTTCTAAAGAAGTGCCTGAGCTTAGATGAATATATTAAATGCTGCAAAGTCAATTTTGGGATAAATCTGAATCACTTTGTGCATTTTAAGGACTTCTTTGAATTGCTCTTGTGTGGTGTGTTTTTTTTGGTTTTTTTTGTTTTGTTTTTTTGTTTGTTGTTTTTTTTTTTAATAAATGATCCTTCTTCAAGCAGGGATTTATCTATCTTGATAAAAAAACTTTCTGGATGAAATTCCACTACATCCAGAACTTTCATACTTGGTCCTTTCATAGGCCATCGTGTTTGGGTAAACCCCTACCTCTCTTATTTCAGTAAAATGAAACTGAGGATGGCTGGAAAGTGAACTGGCTTTATTTTGGCTAATCTTCCTCATTTTAAGCTTTGTTTTGCAACCCCCAAAACAATCTGTTGTAAGTTTGAGACTCTCCAGACTTT